TTACTTAAAAGATATCAAAAACTAGCTTTGAAATAAGATACATGATGTATGTAAAAGTTATATTGGTAATTATAAGGTTGTGGTTAGTAGAGAATTTACAATAAAGTAGAATTATGTATAATTTAACTATAACTTAAATATAATTATAAACATATATATTTCATTATACTGGTACCTAAACTTTACCTATAAATTAGAGTTTGTATACTGTTTCTTTTACATTCTCCAATTTTCATAAATTAAAAAATAAATGTATCTTAGAGAAAAATTCCACTTTTCACAATCCAACTTAAAGTTTAAGGTAAACTTTAAATGCCTTACTATTTTAGAACGCTGTGAAGAGTAACAAAAAGTATAGAATATAAGTATATTAAAATATACTGTTTTTAATATAAAACTTTAACAAAAATTAAATCTTTGCCGATTTTAAAACATTTAATGGACTAGTTCAAAACCAATATTAAATTTGTTACGTTATTTTTATCAATCCTTCACTGTATATTTAAAAATGATAATAACTTCCGAAGTACTAGTTTAAATGTTGTTATTGACCCGTTATTTTTTTTTTTATTTTAGAAGCTAGTTAAATATTTATGTAGCCGTTATAAAAATAATGCCCTTATAAAGTTAATAAATTAGAAAATCATTAATAGTTAATAAATCAAAAAAACTATGAAACTAAATTTCAAAAATAATTTTCTTAATATAATTATTATTTTAAGAAATATCAAGTGGTTAATGTTTAAATAATCGTGTATAAACTATAGCAAATAATCTTATTATGTTAAGGTCATACTTATACGTATGATGATGAAACCCAACTATTTTTCTAAAAGGTGATATAGATCATATGGACGACTTTCATCTTCGCAGTCCCTCATTCTTTTCTGCTATATCACAGTGTAATACTATAATGCGAACAGAGCCTATATAACTGTATTATATTAAAATAACTTATTCAATATTTAGCACCGTATGAAACAGAGATGTGAAGATAACTCAATGTAATTAGATGTACTACTTACATTACTGGTGCAAACACTTTCTCAACCTTGACTGTACAGTAAAAGTATATTATTTTATAAAAGAAGATAGCACATGAATATAATATTTTGTACGCATAGTAGAATGTTATCTAACTTCAAAACAATTAAATTCCAGTCAAATCATAAGGTATAATTGAATAATGGGTAATTTTGAAATTTGGCAAAATTATAAATATATTTATGAACGATTCTCTATGTAATCCTTACAAAAAATAATTTTATTGTTTAGCTTTTAATAGAAATCTATTAACAAAAAAATTTTTTTAAGATTTAATCAACAATTAGATTTCTATGACTAAGGAAATTATCAAACTAATTTTGGATTAATTGGTAAAATGCTATAATTATATTTATCCTTCTATACGCTCAATGATTGTGTAAAAAAACTTTTTTTAGTTTCAAAATAACTAAAATGAACACAAAGGCTGAGATTTATTAATTTTTAATTAATATAGTTAATTCTACTAGATGCTACTTGATTAATAATCTTCGTTTATGAAAAAAAGTCTAGTAATTATAACACGTGCTGAATAGTACTTCAAAAAAAATTACTTATATTTTATTTAACAGTCATAATCTGCAATGTGATTTATTAAGCAAACCAGCTTCCCTTTTTTCATAAAAATGAACAGATTAAAATTAGTTCTATTTTTATGAGTTTTAGTAAATATCGAGTATATTGTATTATTTGATTATCGACCTATATCATTTAATAGTAAAAAAAATAATAATAGAATCTTATTCAACATTCGAAAGTTACCCAAGAGTCTATATTTAGAAATAATCTTTTCTCGCAATAAACTTGATATTATTATGGTTAATAAGAATAATTTAAATTTTAATGTGTATATTTTTATCAAAAAATTTTTATTTAATAAAAAACTGATTAGATGTATTTATATTAATCACTTTGTATTACTATTTTATCCATAAATAAACATTGTATATGTATGTATAAAAAATGATTAAGTGATATTTTATTTCTATAAATAGTTTATAAAAATATCATTAAAAATTATTACTTGTAGGTAACAAAAAAAACTTTTATTAAATTTTGATTAATTTACTTAACTATTAATTTTTATGGAACTTTTATACATTTATTTACTCAGCTAGATTGTATCAAATAAAAACTAAGTTGAATCTAACCATTCATATAAACCTAACTTCTTTACCTAAAACATAATTCCAACAAAACTATACTAGACTTAATATTTAATAATAAATAGTACATATGTAATCGGTTGAAGTCAAAGCAGTATCAATTTAAAAATTCAAATTGTGTAGTTTTTAGTTATAACTTTTTACTATATTTTATAAGAATGTTTTTCTGATTTTAATTTTGATAATTCTCATTGAGTTTTATTTTTGTTGTTAACTTGTAATATTTTCATAGATTTAACAAATTAAAAGTATTTCGATGTTATTAAATATTGTGATGAAATTGTTTGAAACGATTGCACTCACCGTTCATCTTGTTTAGCCTTGATTATACATTATATGTAATAACTATATGCGCTTTTTCTTTTTCAAATAAAAACGGTGAATTATACATATATATGCTTGTTGTTATTCGATGGAGGCAATAACGATCCGCTAGATCAAATCATTTAAAGATAGCATATATTTTGTAAAAAATTTGTAGCAATATTTTTACTGTTTAATAATAATCCATTATATAAATAAAAATATTAATTAAAAAGTTGTTTGTATTTATCACAAGCAAACAAATTTAATATAAGTTTTGCCTCAACTTGTTCGTTCATATTCATTTAGTATATTTGAATTTATATATAATTTTCAATCAGTAGCGTTAGATCTGAGGAGAAAAGCAAATGCCCTTGCTGTGAGAATGTTGCAAAAATTATCAGTTCTGGGTTACTTACCATTGTTAAGTAATTTGGTCATGATAACGTAAAGTAATCAACTTCAAATTCATAAATAACAAGCAATTTTATGTTTATCGTTTTATATGACAATAAAATTATAAATGGCCCAATCAAACACATTATTCTTTGCGCAGTAAAAATGTTTAAAAACGTTTTGTTTACGTTTATAAATCTAGTAAAACTAAAATTCATATTTTCTAAATAATTTAATTTTTGTAGCTAATTTTTTAGTGAAATTTACGTAACTTTGTATTAATCAAAATTTTGATTACAAATTGATGTCTTCAAGATGATACTAATAAACTGTCGCGCTTAGAATACAAGAAGCATAAATTATTTGATAATAACACTGGGGGTCAGCAATATATTAATATTAAAATTAACGAATTTCTAGTATTTTGATTTATTTCTGATATTTAGTCTTAAATAAAAAATAATAATAATGTAAATATAATATAATTTTTGTTTAGATTGTTTCCGAATTTAAGCCTAACATTTATATTAACTATTTGTACGTTACCTTAGACAGAGAATAAGTATAGTCAAAATTCTGTACTTATTGTGTAAGATATGTTATGAAACTAGACACGCAGCTATGATTTATAAAATTATTTTTGAAACAGTGTTTCAACTATCATTCTATTTTAAAACCACATATTAAAGTCACTGAAGCCTTTAGTTATAATAAAAAAATAAGTATTATTAGTTCTTTGTTTTAAATGTAAAGTTATATAATTTTTTTAATTTCATTAATAATATTTAAATAAAAAAATAAAAAAATTTTTTACAGCAAATTTATGTTTTAACATCATATACGGTTTTTAATTGAAACAAAAAATAATATTTAATTACAAATGTGTATAAGATACATTTATGACTTTGTTTTCCTATTAGAAGTATTTGTTAGTTTATTAAAAATTTTCAAAAACTAATATACAAACGTTAATAAGTTCACCTTTACTTGTCAAAGTGTGTAAACTTCATTCAAAGTTTACTAATTCAAAAACTAATTTTATTATTTTATAGGATTTTAAAAAATTTTTTAATTAGTTCTACAAACATTAATAGGATTTTATTATAGCATAGTTTTGTGTCTTTTGGTAAGTATCCAATAACTTGCACACTAACTGCTTGCCATTGGTGTATAAGTTATTAATCATAGTAATGATCCTATAGATATTTTTCTGATGGATAGATTAATATAAAAAAGTATTTAGGAGATTAATTATTTATTTACCAAATTCATTTAATTTAAGTTGTAGTTTTTTAAAAGATTCACAAAATTATATAAAATCTAAATGATAAAATTTAAGATGAATTAATGAACAGTATAATTCATTATTCATACATTTCATATATTTACATTATATTGTACATAATATTTCATCTTTAGCTTCACCATAAGAGAATAATACAATATTTAAAAGTAAACCACCGATTAACCAAAAACCTATTTTTTGTGGATTCTGAAACTTACTAAACTAAAATAACATTGTGGATTTTTCTTGGGGTTAATTTAAGCAAGTATATTTCTCAATTATTAAATATAAAAAATATATATCAGAACATTGTTGAATCTAAGTATACTTTAGGGAATGTCTTATGGCCATAATGATATTGTAGCTATTTTTGAAAATTGTCGTTATATTTCGTTTAACATTGAGTTAAAAACAATTATTTTTTTTTCTCATCAAATTTTTTTCTTTGTTCTAATGTATTAATTTTATAAAAATATGACAAAAAGAATTTTGTTTAGTTGCACCATTACTTATGGCACTTTAAAAAAATTCTAAATTCAGCACTATTTCTGAAATAATTTTTATTTTGTTTTTATTTGGATGGTTTCATAGTTTATTTTAAATTTTAGTTATTTTTTATTAAGCAAATTTTAATATTTAATTAAATTTTCCAATAACTTTTTGATATATATTTTTTTTTAGTTTCATTCAGTTTTTTTTTCACTGTTAACTGTGACAGTACTCGTAAAGAAATTCCCCTCTTTCTATTTATAAAATAAACATTTCATCTGTAACCTTAATAATTGCATAAATAAGTTCGTAACGAGTTAAAATAGTTCTGCGTCACTTTCATTTTGCACTTCAAAGCAGACAGTTTTTTAGTGATCAAAGATGGATTCTTTCGTAGAAGAATTTTCAAACTACAAATTGCCGATACTACCGAATAAATTAAATCATCTACCAGATCGTATTTCCCAAACGTTTTCCGATAAAACGTTGTTTATAACTGGCGGAACCGGTTTTCTCGGAAAAGTTTTACTTGAAAAATTGCTAAGAAAGACATCGGATATTAAGAAAATTTACTTGTTGTTACGCCCAAAAAAAGGAGTACAACCTAAAGAACGAGTAGAAGTTTTATTCAATTCACCGGTAAGATTCATTTGTTAATGAATTAAAATTTTATTTATTTGTGTGGACATTTTTTCTTCGTAGTAATTTGTTCAAATTATTTTAAATTTTGATAACAATTAAAGTATTAAATATTATATAAAAATACATATTTTATACTTATGCGATTAGGAATGAAAAGTGATTTCTTTTAACATTAAATTATAGCGATTGTCACACTTAATTTGTCTTTACCTTAAGAAAATAATTATTTGCTTATATTTTAACATGATGTCTTATGCAGCTTTGAAAAACAACAAGTGTTCTATATAATTATGACTATCAGTAAAATTTTCTTTAACATACATATCTATTCCAGAATTCGCATCTATTTATCCCAAATACTTTTCTGATATTCTTGTAAGTTTCTAAATAACCATAAACATTTCCATATATTGAAGTCATGCCGCGTTTTCTCAGCTAAATATTGCCTAGTAGTACTAACAGAAGTTTACTAACGTAATTATGCCCGATTTTCCTAGGGTAATGTTTATTCATAAGATATCTTGTATTTAATTTCAATTACATTAAATAGTTTGAATTTCATTACCAAGTTTTATGTAACACTAAATTGTTTTAATTTCAAATGAATTAGAGAACTTAAACATAGTTAAAAAATACGTTAAACATTGAATAATGTAATAGAATAAGCGCTTACTACACCCAAATATTCAGAACATATAAATTATTTGTAAGATAATTGAATAAAATTATTATTATTATTATTTTAATGCATGGAAATATTTAAAGAAAGGAGTAATTTTTGCTCTTGTAATATTTTTTTATAATCAAGATAATTTACTTAAGCTTATAAATATTCTAAATTATTTAAAAATAATAGTTTCCAATGTAGAAAGAACATATATATATATATTTTTAATTATGTTTATACGTTTATAATCTTAAATAAACCTAATTTTATAAACAAAATGTATGAACCATAAGTAAGTTAGATCTTATTACCCGCACTGTCTTTAATTATATCATTATGATAAATTAAAATGTTTTCAAGTTTAACTAATCTAACCTTTAAAATTTTTTTTTTCAGTTTAACTTAATTTTTTTTTAATATTAAGTCATAAATTCATATTTTTAGTTATTCGATCATTTAAAAGCCTTAAAAGGCACTACCTTTTTGGAAAAAATTGTTCCTATTGCCGGAGATGCTGGAGAAATAAATTTAGACATCAGTGAAAAAGATCGCATAACACTTACTGAAGAAGTGAATATTGTCTTTCATGTAGCCGCTACTGTACGTTTTGATGAACCTCTCAAAAAAACATTACTTCTAAACACCAGGGGCACCAAATTTACTTTAGAACTTGCTAAAGATATGAAAAATTTAGAGGTAATTAATTTTATATTGAATTGAATTTGTAAAAAATAATTTGTATAATATTTTATGATTAACTACACAAATAAAAAAAAAAAACTATTTAAACTGTGTTCTAATAATTTTTTAATGAACTATCTATGTGAGCAATTGTTTACAATGTGCATAATGTTTTATGATAAATACAGTGTAACCTTTTGTTTATAGTAAAAACTTACTTATCTTTAAGTACGTATATCTTTACATAACTACAATNTAAGTCATAAATTCATATTTTTAGTTATTCGATCATTTAAAAGCCTTAAAAGGCACTACCTTTTTGGAAAAAATTGTTCCTATTGCCGGAGATGCTGGAGAAATAAATTTAGACATCAGTGAAAAAGATCGCATAACACTTACTGAAGAAGTGAATATTGTCTTTCATGTAGCCGCTACTGTACGTTTTGATGAACCTCTCAAAAAAACATTACTTCTAAACACCAGGGGCACCAAATTTACTTTAGAACTTGCTAAAGATATGAAAAATTTAGAGGTAATTAATTTTATATTGAATTGAATTTGTAAAAAATAATTTGTATAATATTTTATGATTAACTACACAAATAAAAAAAAAAAACTATTTAAACTGTGTTCTAATAATTTTTTAATGAACTATCTATGTGAGCAATTGTTTACAATGTGCATAATGTTTTATGATAAATACAGTGTAACCTTTTGTTTATAGTAAAAACTTACTTATCTTTAAGTACGTATATCTTTACATAACTACAATGAACGACTCATAAACCAGATGAAAAACCAATAACTTATTAAAAAATGTATTACTTTCGTGTTTTATTTACATTTTTCCAATTAATAAACATAATACATTAAATTTATAATATCATACACTTATTAATTAATATTTAGTTTCTTTATGGAAATTAATTTTTTTTTTGAAACTCTAACCATTATTATGAACTAGTTATTTATCACTCATTTATATAAAAATATTAATCATCATTTCACTTAATATTTAAAAAAATAAAAAATTCTAATAAGTAATAATGATAGATTTGATTTGATTGATATTTTCGCAATAAATAATTTAAACATGGGTAAGAAATATAAAAAAAATAACAAATTATTAGATCTTAATTAATAAAATATCAACATATCATCTTATTCTAAAATTTCAGATGTTTATGTATGTTTCAACGGCCTATAGTCATCCACAGGAAAAGGTATTGCATGAAAAAGCATATGTACCTCCAATAGATCCTCATAAAGCTATTGAACTCGTTGAAACATTAGATGAAACAATTGTGAATAAATTATCTAAACAGTAAGTAAATTATAAGTATATACTTATACGTAACAATAAGAAATTGTTATAATTTTATAGCATGTTGGGCAATTTCCCAAATGGCTACGCTTACACAAAATGTCTTGCCGAGCATTTGGTTGTTGAACAAATAAAATCTGGTTTACCATGTATAATTGTTCGTCCGTCAATTGGTAAGAATAGTAAATTTTATTTTTTTAGATTGCCGCAATTATTTTATCACCTATTATAATAGTGCTGTCTTTATTTTCAGTCATTCCTATTTGGAAAGAACCTTTGCCAGGTTGGACAGATAATATTAATGGACCCGTGGGTTTGCTTATAGGAGCTGGAAAAGGTGTTATCCGAACCATGTATTGCAATAATAATGGCGTTGCTGATTTCTTACCCGTTGATATAGCGGTTAATGGAATACTTTTATTTGCTTGGAATTATATAAAAAATAAGTGAGCTAAGAAAAAACTAATACCCAATGAACAAAAATTTTTTTTAACAACTATGTGCATTGGTTTAACTAAAAATATTATTTCTGGGGAAGAGGTTTTACCTTTTTTTTTTTTTGCTCACCAAATTCATTATACCGTTCGTTATTTAAAAAAACTTAAATATACAAAAAAATAAAGGTTACTTTCATTATAATATTCAAACATTGCTGATCATTTCCAGTGAGTTAGTGACAATGCCTTTACCATCCCCTGGTTTAGCCACTGACTATGTGTTAATTTATAAATCAATTTATAAACATATTTAATTAATATATCATTTTAAACATATAATAGTTCATAATTTGAACTTAATTGCACATATATATTGATATTATTTTTTAATTTGTCTTTTTTGTTATTTCATTTAATATTTATAGCGAAAAAAGTCTTACAATTGGCCATTTAATGTCTACACAAGAAGTAAAAGTAACATGGAAAGAAATTATAGATCTTGGTAAAGATATAGTTACTACTGAAATACCATTAAACGGTTGTGTATGGTATCCCGGGGGAAGTTTAAAAAGTAGTAGAATCCTTCATAATATTTGCATATTTTTTTTGCAAATTATACCGGCCTATATTTTGGATGCGTTCATATTTTTATCGGGAAACAAACCTTGGTAAGGCAGAAACCACCAATAACTGTTTTACCTGTACTTTGATTAATTATACAATTTTAACTTACAGTTTAGTACGCATCCAAGAAAGAATTTGCAAAGGATTTGATGTTTTCGAATTCTACACGAATAACCAGTGGGAATTTATTATGGATAGATCTTATCAAGTAAGAAATAAAATGAATGATAGAGAAAAATTTGAATATAAGGTTGATTCCACCGGGTTAGACTTAAGGGCATATTTTAAGAATTGTATCATGGGTGCCCGTATATACATATTGAAAGAAATGCCAGATACTTTAGCTAATGCACGGAGGCACATTAAAACGTAAGATTATAATTAAATTATGATAAATTAAAACTTGTAATTAAAAGAAATTGATTATTTGTATTTTTTGGTTTATTGTAGAATGAGATTCATTGACATTGTGGTCAAAATTTTATTCGTATTTTTACTTTTCTGGAAAATGCTTGATTGGTCAGATACAATCCTTGCTGTAGGATTATTTTTNGCTTGATTGGTCAGATACAATCCTTGCTGTAGGATTTTTTTTAATATAGATAATATTTTAAATAAGTGTTGTGGGAATGATTCTTTATATGTTGGTTTTTCTAAGCATAATAATTGTGCATCCTTTAGTTTTGTTGTATTCTCATTAATTATTGAACTCTGTTCTAACAAAAATGTTAAACATTCGGATTGAATTGTTTCCTCTTTTTGCATTAAACAATGGTCTACCAGAAATTTTATTATAGCAATATGATTTTTTAAAAAATGAATATTCAAGCATGTTGTCATTAAATAAAATCGACGCATATCAGTATCGTAAATTTCTTCTTTATCTAAACCTAAGTCTTCAGATTCCGGTATCATATTGATTATTTTTCCACTTGATATATATTTTTTATCACAATCTAGGAGATCAAAAATGCCAAATACACGATTATTTATGTTTAAACGTCCCCAGATAGGATATGTCAGTAATTTTTCTATTGTCTTTGGTCTAGATTCCGTTGCTTTTATATTCACACATGTTGAAAATAATATCAAAAAACATATTGTAAAAATCAAGTTTAATGATATCATATATAATCACTTCACTAACCAAATTAATTATTTTAATTTTTCGACAATTTTTAAAATATAACAGAATTTATACTACAATATGTTTGTTAATGTGAAAATCCAATTATAAATATTACGATCTAAAATTTAATTTTATCTGTTTTTTATTTGTTAAGACTAAAAGATTATAAATCATATAAATTATAAAATATTACATAAGAAAATAATTCCGTTAAACAATTATTTTTATAAATTTCAAGATTTGCTTTTATAATATTATATAGAGGTAAAATAATAATAATAAAAACCGGTCAAATAGAATTTCAGACATTTTTTAGATTAGTATTTATATCTGACAGATATTAAAACCTACTGTTTAATCACTTTAATACGTATTTCAAAACAATTTTTAAAAAAATTATATTTTTATTAATTGGCAATAGTTAACTGCTTATAATAAGCATTAAGCTTTGGGATAGTTTTTCTCTTTTATCTTAATAGACTTTGTGATTCATTACATTACATTAATTTTTTTGCATTGTTATCGTAATTTTTTCAATTTTTGAGGGTCATTTTTTCTACTAGTTACGATTCTTAATCTTTTGACGTATTTTTAAAAGAAATCGGTACTGTAAAAACCGAGAAATATGTTAACAGACGCCAAAAAAAAAAAAAAATCTTCATTGTAAATTTAATACTTTCTCAGCTTCGCATTGAAGCTAAAAACACTTTTCCTTCGTAGATGTTATTTAACCACATTACCTTTGTACATTAAAAGAATACCTTAATTAATATGTGGTGTAGTTTTGAATGAAGTATAGAGATGGGTTTAGTAAGATTTAAAAATCTTCTTAATATTATAACTAAAATAAGTAAAATTAAGTAATTTTTTTCCTATCACTATGAAATGACATTCGCCCCCAAGAATTTTGGCCTCCCATCCTCCCTCCTTATCCATCCTTACATATGGTTACGTCGATTTGGATAATTACTTATTTTACATGACAATTCATATGTATTTATCATCGTTATACACACATTGAGAAATATATTGTAACTAAACCCTAGTTGGTTTATTTCTCAACATGTTTAATTTAGAAGCGTATCTAACATGTAATCAAAGGAATTAACCTTTCTTAAATAATCAAAATTGAGAGAACTTTTTTGTAATCACAAATATATTTGCACCTAATTTAAATTTTATTATAAACGTAATTTAAAAGCATTGGTTCAGGGATCTAATTTTAGATTATGCTTAGTATTTTTGTTATTTTTCTAAAAACTAGTTCAGACTCTATAGTTTTCTGATTTAATAAAAAAAAAGTTATGGCAATTTAAAGTAAAAAAAAATTTTAAAAATGTCGAAAATTAGCGATTTTTAAATTTGAAATTTTTTGGGGGATTTCCCCCGTTACGGGGAACGAGGGAATTATTTTCAAATTTTGAGGGTAATATTTTCGACTAGATACGATTTGTGATCTTTTGACAAAGTTTTCATCAAAATCGGTCCAGGGAGACCTGAGATTGAGCGTATACAGACACAATAAAAAAAAAAAAACCCAGCNATCCATAAACTTTTCAATAAGTTATAGCATTATAAAGTTAATTATAAAAAAAAAAACCCAGCACAGGGGGGTCGTGACACAGTGGTGACGTGGCATAGTTGGATCAAGTATAATGATATCTGACAGTGATTAAAATCACTATCAAAAAAAAAACGCTTCGATGCAAATCTTTAGATAGTGTTTAATTTTAAAAAATTGGTGGATTATTCCAAAAGCTACTTGATCTGCTGTTTCCTTATGAATATCTCGATTAAGATAAAGTATGTCGAATGAAAAAGGGATTATTAAAAATAGTACTTCTCATAGAAAAATTATGTTGATCCATACACTTTTCAAAAAGTTATAGCATAATAAAGTTAAAAATGTAAAATCGAAAATGTTCACACAAAAATAGCATTTGGTAGCCGTTTTCACCGTGAAGACGAAATAAAGTCCGAAATTTTTTTTTTTACATAATAAAGAAGATTACATTAGCTTTAATTTAATATATATATATAAGTATCAGACTTTCCGGAACACTTTCAAAAGTTAAGTTGAAAAAATTAATTTTTTTTTAAAAAGTTGTCATTTTAAATCCCCCCCTATGGGCAGGTAAAGGGTCAGATATAAAAAAAAAAATTACCAAATGATAGTTAATGACACCATGCATCTATAAAAAAAAGAATTATATTGATATGTTTATTTTTAAAAAAGTTACGACAGTTTTTAGTAAAAAAAATTGAAAAAATTTCGAAAATTAGCCATTTTTAAATTTGTAATTTTTTCGGATGTTTCCCCCATTACGGGGAACGAGGGAATTTTTTTCAATTTTTGAGGGTAATGTCTTCGATTAGATACGATTTGTGATCTTTTGACGTATCATTGAAAGAAATCGGTTCGGTGAGAGCTGAGAAAAAGTGGTAACAGANCTTTTGACGTATCATTGAAAGAAATCGGTTCGGTGAGAACTGAGAAAGTGGTAACAGACAAAAAAAAAAAAAAAAAAACATATCATAGTAAAACCAATACCTTCTCAGCTTCGCATCGAAGCTAATACATCATAGTAAAATTAATACCTTCTCAGCTTCACATCGAAGCTAAAATCAAGATTAAAATATAAATGTTTTTTTTTAAATTAGCAACTCAACATTTAGAGTTAAAATTCATACCCATAATTCTATCACATTTTGCCGATAAGCGATACCGGCAAAATATAAGACCAAATTTTACAAGAGCCAAAATATAATTGACAAATCTATTTATTAATTCTATCTATTTACAATGATATTTAATGACAAATTGGATAGACTTCCCTGCGAAAACTATTATACCTAGACTAATAAAATTTTTCTAGTTTGAACTTAAATGTTTTATATTCATAATGATCCAAAATTGGGGAAAAAATGAAATTTATTAGTAATATAACTTATTTATATTTTTGTTGATTAGGCGATATTTTATACATAATTAATGAAATATAATATATTTCGATATACAGAATGATCGAAATCTAGTAAGACACGCATTTTCTCAGAAATTATTGAGAATTTTAAATTTTTGTAAAAAGAAAAATTATAAAATTTATGAAACTGTACAATAATATGAAGTTAAATAATTTTTTTTTTATGCCTTCGGGGATAAAAATGTTTATTTATAATTTTTTTAAATGAGAAACACTATTTTTGATTGGATAATATGATAGAAAAAAAATTACAAACAATTTTGTTCTTATAATTATTTATATCCAAACAACCGATTACGTATTATAATTGTTTAAAGATTTTGACTGTGAGAGAAAATATTGTCATTTATTGCGTTTCATAATATCGGTGGCAGTGCAACCGGTATTTTTGTTGGATCTTTTAGTCTTACAAACCAATAGACTTTGCTATTAATAATACACCGAATCCCGATTTGAATCTATTATTGTTATCACTAATTTAGTGCATAGTAAATTTTTATATCTAATTTACCTGTCATAACTTGATCAATATAATTTGATTTATGCAATATCAAATAAAAATAATGACTTCTGTATTTAATACAGTAACATAACAATAGAAATTTGGCCTAAAATCACTTAACTTTGACAAGCTGTAAAGGACGAACGGTTAATCGGGAAAAAAAATTATACGGACAAAATCGCTTATAATTTTAGCTTCGATGCGAAACAGAGAAGGTATTAATTTTACTATGATGTGTTTTTTTTTTTGTGTGTCTATTACTACTTTTTCTCAGCTATCACCAAACCGATTTCTTTCAATGATACGTCAAAAGATCATAAATCGTATCTANTTCTTTCAATGATACGTCAAAAGATCATAAATCGTATCTAATCAAAGACATTACCCTCAAAATTTGAAAAAAATTCCCTCGTTCCCTGTAAACGGGAGAAATGACCCAAAAAATTTCAAATTTAAAAATTGCTTATTTTCGACATTTATTCAATTTTTTTTACTTAAAATTGCCATAACCTATTTTAAAAATAACCAAATGATTATATTTTTTTTTGTATAGATACCTTAGGTATTTACCTATTATTTTATATATTTTTGTGAACATTTGATCCTTTAACAGCCCACAGGATGGGGTTTCAAAATGGTAACTTTTTTACAAAAAA